TCGGGGGGGGAATGGGGGCCTCTGCCCTGAGGAATATTGAGGGATCTCGGCATCTAGATGAAATAAACTGATCAGCCTTGTCTCCATGTCCAGGGATCGGTGAGCCTCTGCGGTGGCTGCTCTGGTGAACGCGGCTGGGCGTGCGCACCTCGGCCTCCGTCCGTCGGTCCTGCAGAGCCGCTATAAATTGCTGCGATCGTTTATTTCTCCTGATTGTGATGAATGTGCGAGCCGGAGATTGTCTGCCGCCATTAATCACAGATCTTCCGTAAACCGCCCTCTGGGGTCTGACGTCTCCGTCACACAATCGCATCCCATTAATAGCTCGCAATTACGGTGTCATCTCCATCCGCATGTGACTCCAGCGTTTCCCTACTAAGGCGTGACGGTGTATGTGGGTGACATGTCGCTGCGCTACACGCACAGCCACATTGTCTCTCATACTCGTCTGGGAACAAAAGACATTTAAAACTGAAATCCAGACGGATAGAAGACAAGTTAATCAAGCGCTGTAATGATATAATATACACTATATTGCCGAAAGTATTGGCCCCTCCCCCTCCCAATCATTGGATTCGGGTGTTCCGTGACATTTCCCGGCTACTAAATATTCCGCCGCGGTCGCCTGTTACTGGGATTATAAGCGACCGGGAACAACAGCAACTCAGCCAGGAAGTGGTCGGCCACGTCACATGACAGAGCTTCTATATACAGGTGACACTGGCTCTATATACAGGTGACACTGGCTCTCTATATACAGGTGACACTGATATATGAGACTCATGACATGCGTGGCGAGATAGTTCAAGCCGTGATTTGTCACCATTGTGATGATTATGGCGCACAGCTCATGACAACCCCAAATCCACAATCTCAGAGAATGAGAACACGGTGACACGGTGGAATATTCTCGGCTCTCAGTGTCCCCCTCTAATCAGCTAATGAAGCCGTAAGACCCGTAAGGGGTTCCGGAGCCTGGAAGTGGTCTCTCAGTCCGGTTCAGTAGGGATCACAATCATGGGGAAGACTGCTGACCTGACACCATCATTGACACCCTCCATGCGGAGGGAAAGCCTCACAAAGGTCATCGCAGAAGAAGTCGGACAATCCTCCCCCGGCTGCGTGTGCACCTTTCCCTTCCACAGAACTTTCTATGAATGGGCTTTGATGCGGCACTCCGAGAACAATGATCATTATAAAGCCGAGGCGTCTGTCCCCACCCGTCCTCGTCCACCCATCCTCATCCATCCTCACCCGTCCTCATCCACCCGTCCTCATCCACCCTCACCCGTCCTCATCCACCCTCACCCGTCCTCATCCACCCGTCCTCGTCCACCCGTCCTCATCCACCCGTCCTCATCCACCCGTCCTCATCCACCCTCACCCGTCCTCATCCACCCTCACCCGTCCTCGTCCACCCGTCCTCATCCACCCTCACCCGTCCTCATCCACCCTCACCCGTCCTCATCCACCCGTCCTCATCCACCCTCACCCGTCCTCGTCCACCCTCACCCGTCCTCATCCACCCTCACCCGTCCTCATCAACCCGACCTCATCCACCCTCACCCGTCCTCGTCCACCCTCACCCGTCCTCGTCCACCCGTCCTCGTCCACCCGTCCTCACCCGTCCTCATCCATCCTCACCCGTCCTCGTCCACCCGTCCTCACCCACCCTCACCCGTCCTCGTCCACCCGTCCTCATCCATCTTCACCCGTCCTCATCCACCCTCACCCGTCCTCATCCACCCTCACCCGTCCTCATCAACCCGACCTCATCCACCCTCACCCGTCCTCGTCCACCCTCCCCCGTCCTCATCCATCCTCACCCGTCCACCCGTCCTCGTCCATCCGTCCTCGTCCTCCCGTCCTCATCCACCCTCACCCTTCCTCGTCCATCCTCACCCGTCCACCCGTCCTCGTCCATCCGTCCTCGTCCTCCCGTCCTCATCCACCCTCACCCTTCCTCGTCCATCCTCACCCGTCCACCCGTCCTCGTCCATCCGTCCTCGTCCTCCCGTCCTCATCCACCCTCACCCTTCC